CCTCATCATGAAGAAAGAAGAGGAAGAATGTGATTTATTTGCATTGGTTAGTTTATTTTGTTTAATTCCGCTATCATGCTATAGTATGCTGTGATAGCGGAATTAAACAAAATAATTCAAATCAATTGACTATAATATAGACTTATTGCATAAGTCTATATAATACCTAGTTTAGTTAAATATTTATTTGTATATAATATACGTAATAATTTAAGGGTAAAAGTTATCCAAAGAAGATTACCAGAGAGAGACTTTGTACAAAGTTGTTTGCTTGGGAACCTCTGTCCCATTCGTGTTTCAACCGTAAAGCAGTTGAGTTTGCATGGCTGTGTTTCGGTTTGAAGGGTGGAATATGACGTGAATTTACAGGGTACAGAGGAATAACACCTGAGTCCTCAGGAACGGTAACGCATGGAGGTTATCATGGGTGAAATAGTATACTCTGTTATGTCCATGGCACTGTTCATGTCTATAGGCGATGGTTACCACTTTCCATCAGGTGGGCCGTCAGTTTGTTTGTCATTCTAAGTTGTATAAACAAAGAAAAAAGGTACCTATTCTTATCTAAGTATTGTAAGTTATTGTGTTATATGAATTAAATTAAGAATTTGTTACTTTTTTTTACTAATAAATAAGTTTTGTAAAGATAAATGAACAAATTAAACATTACACAATTGAACCTCGTTTTATGGGGAAGGCCTTTGTTCACCAGTGTTCAGCAGAGGAATTTTAATGGCTGACATGATGATGATGATGAATTACCACAAGTATTTACAAAAACAGCCGTGTAGGACCCGGCATAGAATAAGCCACTCCTTCCTATCCCATGAGTATCGTAAGAGGCAACTGAGGCAACTTATATGGTCGGGGGATATGCAGCAGCGTCCCTCTTTAAACATCACCAAAGCCTAACCGAGGTTGCTAACCTGCCTGCCAAACATGACAACTATTGACAAACTCACCTATGGGGAAGGTTATGTTTAGCAGTGGACAGTTAATGGCTGATACATAAAATCTACTAAAATATCAAAACAATAAAAATTTTTATGTTTTATAGTAGATACCTATAACTATAAGGTACCTACTCACTAGTTTGAATTAAATGCACAAAATCTATTAACCCCAACATTAATACTGTACCGAATATAATTTTATAAAATTATCCCTTATTATTGATATCATAAAGTATAATATCGTGCGACATCTTTAGAATCAAAAGTCATATTATTATAAACGCAGTAATAAGCCGATAATAAAAACCAGACAAAGCAAAGGTGTTGGACTAATTGATCACGGGATGAATGAAAAGGCAGCCGGCGGTTTAGGGAAACAGCGTGTGTGGCAGCTGTGACAGCGGTCTCATAAGCGGAGCGAGTTTCGTGTCTTACTAATGATAATAAAATTTTAATTAGACGATACATGTATATGATATTTAAGAATAATTTGTGGATTTTTAATACGGATTTTGTCTGTCTGTATGTTTGTTCCGGTATCACGCAGAAACTTTGTACTTAAAAAGGTATTTAAAAATAAACTGAGCTTAATATGAATGATTGAATATCAGCATTTGTACAAAAGTAGATATAATTTATAATACATTGTCAGTAGTATATTAAGTATTATTTAGTTTTAGTTATAAATAATTATGGAAGTTTGTAAAGATGTTTGGATATTTAGAAATCGGTTACCCAATCATACTTAAGTATCAAAACGGATTTGTACAAAATTTTATACACAGTATACTTATATATGTTCTAAATTGTATAGATGTTTATTTTAATGAGTATTTTTTCTTACGTGACAAAGAATATTATAAAGTTACAGGATATTTTTTGTCATTATTTACTTCATATAAAACGCTATCAGTGAACCCATAGATCGCTTTCGTCCTGGTGCGCTGTGAATGGGTATTATGTTACATCCGGTTAGTGAACAAAGACTTAAAGCGATATTTGTAGCAGCTAATAAAATTAAATCTGTTGTGTAATTGACTAGCCATGCCGTCGTGTTACCACTGAAAGCACGTCAGTCAGAATTTTGGCAATTGTTGTTGATAAGCTTATTGTAAATATACAGGATGGAATCGAAATTGTTAGTGTCCTTCTAAGGGAGTGTTATACCAGTGAAACAAAACATAGGTACAGAGGAATAACACCTGAGTCCTCAGGAATGGCAACACATAGGGGGTATCATAGGCGAAATAGTATACTCTGTTATGTCCATGGTACTGCTCATGTCTATAGGCGACGGTTCCCACTTTCCATCAGGTGGGCCGTCACCTTGTTTGCCATTCTAAATTGTATAAAAAAAAACACAAGAGTAAATTCTTTAAATGTTTAACTAAAAGACTGTAAGTACATTTAATAAGAATCCTTCTTCTTAGATCTTAGTTCCATTATATGATATTGTATGTAGAAAAAAGCGTGATGCTTAATATAAGGATAAATGAGAATAATTTTTGATAAAAATAATTTAAAATTCACGAGATTATTAAAAAATATTAGGATTTTTTTGGTGGTGTCTAGAGCGACTCCTAATTTAGGTACTTTATCACATAAAGGTACTTTATGTGATTGTTGTTTTAATTTTGTCATAACAAACTAATCGTTTTCGAAATAAAAATAAATTAGAATTACTTTTAACAATAAAACTAATTCTTATTATATTTAAATTTTTAGTCATTTATAATTAAGCGAGATTAATTTAAAGTAACATTTACACCCGTGAACCCTAAATTAATTTATTGATCCCAAAACCCTTTTGTTATATTTATTTTCAATAACCCTATTTTATAATGGTTTTTAATTCCTGTTAATACTCAATGGTGAGCATATAAAATGAAGCTAAAAAATGTTGTGGTTCTTCGTATGGGATTTAAGCCATTCTATGGGGCCGGACGTGGTTGTTAATTTTAATTGGATTTTAGGATTTTTATGATGGTCAGATAGGAACTGAAAGAGGAAGCGTATGTATTGTATTCAATATTTTTAGGGTCCGATCCTTTAGTGTTAACAAAAAAAGAACTGTAGGTACTATTATTTGTAATTTGTTTGTCTGTTAAACTTTACAGATAGACATTTCGATTGATAATTTTCTAAATATTATTATTTTGGCTTTTATTACTCTTATTAAGGCTCCTCATATTAATTTCTCTAAAATATCCTCATGTACTATAGATATCTATCTATGTACATACATATATCGTACAGTTACAAGCTTATTGTATTAGTAATGAATAGGTTTATTTTAAACAAGCTCTATTTCATGACTTCACCCGCGTGAATCAGCACAGAAAGTATCCCATTTGCTAAGTTGGAATATAATCTATCAAATTTTATTTAAATCCATTCACAAGTGTTTGCGTAAAAGAGTAACATGCATTCACCCATTCATTCAACGATTGTTACAAACTTTCTTATTTATAATATTAATAGGACAGGTGTAGGTGTTTGCCCATATTAGAGGTATTTAGAGATAACAAGGATTTTAATTCTATTTTATACTTAAGTACGACTTGAAATGATAAACAAGTAAACTTGATGGAAATAGCTTTCAAATTAAAGTCTAAATTAAAATAAACTCAATTTATTAGGGGTTTAGTATTCAAACTCCATACCATAGGTAAGTAATAAGTATGTAAATTTATTAAGTATAATGTATGTTTAAATATAAGTAAGATAAAAAACAAGAGTAAAGAGTATTAAATTACGATGGAAAGAGTCGACTCTCTTTTTTAAGCTTTTATAAATATATGCATAGAAATTAAAGTTATTTATTTTAAAATTTAATAATTAATTTACGTCTCCCATAAACAATAAAATTAGAGTTGACTGAGTAAATATTGTTCGATACAATATAATTTAAAATTCTTTATTTTTTTTCTACTTTACTTTATTTTAATTTATATTTAACTTAACATAATTTGTATTTAATTTACATACTACTTGCCTATTGTAGATATAAAGCATAAATACTAAATCGCCAATAAGTTAAATTACTACATTTAATAATTAGGTATGAGTTAAATAAATTAGAAAATATAGGATAACTAAAACTTTATAATGGCGTAATTAAAATATTTAAGCAGATATCGTGGTATTCATTAACACTTGCGACTTCTATTTATTGTCAGTTGCTATTAAAAAAAAAAACAGTATAACCTACTATTATAAATAGCACCTATATTTATACCCAATTAAAATATAAAACTACATTGATTTAAGCAGATATCAATTTTATTATTATCATCAATATAAGACGTTAACTGTCCACTGCTAAACAGAAGCCTCCTCCATAAAGAAGGAAGGAGATTTGCCAATAGTTGCCATTTGTCTATATAATGTAGAACTTCAAATATAATTATTTATTATATCATAAACACAATATGAAATTATTTAAATCAATTAATACTCATTGAACAAAAATGATCGTGAAATGTTCTTGTATTAACAATGTTAAGAAACCCCGGCAAGCAGATGTTGCTCAGTTAATTCTATGGGTGTTGTATTTCCTCGCCAATCGAGTGCCATTCACACAACATTGTCAATTAATAAAATATTTGTCACATAAATTATTGGTGACAAATAACGTGGATCCTTCCAGGCTATTGTCATTTCACATCATAAAATAAACTGTCCCATATTATTCCGCGTACAATAGTTTTTAACGGACCCGCGACAGAGAGGTGGCGGAGGGGCGGCGGGGGACGCGCGCGGGACGCACCGCAAAAACTGCACCCGACTTAATTATAAAGAGACAAGAAGCGCCATTAAATAACGATTCGTTAAATCTACGCTCTCGTGTTAACACCACGCTTCTCCTCTCTCTATCGGACCCCTTAAAGGTGGACAGGGACGGGCATATTTCCGATGCACGGTCTCGTGAAGGGGCGGCGTCACCGATATAAGGTTTAGATTGACTGGGCGTTCTCTATACTGTTTTTTTTTGTTTGCGCCGAGCAAAAGCTTGGCAGCTCGGCAGCTTTCATTCGGTGTCGGGTCGCGCGCGCGGTGACTCGCTTCGAACGCGAATTCGAATTCGTCAACGGACAATGACTATGTGAACGTTTCGTGTTCGAAATTCGATTATGTTCTAAATTTGAAATTCGAGTGTGTGAACTTTGAAAGATGTCAGAACTGCGCGGATCGCCGCCTCTTTCGCGGGGTGTTTTGGAGAACGGCTTCGGGGCGCCGCTGGCCGCTTTGAGCTCGTTGGCGGAGGCGCCTCCTCCGGCCCCTAATCCTCACGGCATCGACCATATACTGTCAAGGCCGACGGTTGGGACCAATGTTGGTGCTGGTCTCCTGACTCCGAGGTTGTCTTTGGCGGCAGCCGCGGCGGGCATGGCGCATTACTTGCAGCACAAACCACTGTACTGGCCAGGCTTTCAAGGGCTGGTATCCAATCCAATGGCGTGGAGAGACAGATTGCAGTCTAGTGAGTATTATTCTTTACTTTGTTACCTCTATGTATATTTCTGTAGAGAGAAATCAAGAAATAAGGTTTTTTTAACAGTTTAGATATGTTTGGTTACCTATAGAATTAATTTAAAAAAAATCTTAATTGAGAGACAAAAATTAGATATTCCAGCAACCTCTATGTTCCATTTGTCCGCTAGATAGACTGTCATATCTGTCTGTTTACTTTATATATCTCTGTTTACTGTATAGATAATCTGGTAGTATTATTTTATTGTTACCCTATTCCCTTTGGCCGTAACAGAATATCAGTGCTTTGCTCTTTTGAAGCGATAAACTGAGTTGTGACCATTTTGTATTGTTATGGCACACGCACGAAAGGAAAAAATGTACTTGGCTTTATGTATTTTTTTTTTTTTCTATAATTTCTCTTATCTCGCTTTTTATGTATAATCTGTATCTGTTATAATTTTTGTGCTGTAAGTAATGCAAATAAATTATCTACCGGTAGGTATATGTTTATGTAGTCATTTATTAAAAGTAACATCAGTCATTGAATTAAATATTCATTAAAACTATTTATTTATTAATTAAATATATATAATATCTAATTAAATAGATACATAGGCAGAAATAAGATTTTAATTTATCTATATATTTCGATATTTATAAATAGATATCTGTATTTGATAGGTATAGATAGAGACTATTTGAAGTAATTACTTCAATGTATTGATATTTAAAATAAAATATGACCGTGATTATATTAAGGTTATAGATATGTTTATGTTTTTCTATGGGATTATTGTCTATATTATACAGCATATATATTCGCGTAGAAAACATATATAAATATAATTAATAAGAATTCAAGCTATAATGATGTTTCAATTCATAGTCAAACAAAAGACATCAACGCGTTTTCTAGAGATCAAATTTAATTATAAATTTAAATAATACTAATTAAAAATATGTACTTACATTGTATATGTACTTAATTTTTTATACATAATTATACTATTAGTTAATAAGAGAGTTAATAAGTTTCTAAAAAATATACCTATAAATATACATCAATAAATACTATTTTGTAATATACTGACTGACCTAGCAAATGTTGTTTTTCAGTATTAATTATGGATAGGGACACGATAATCACCTAGTGGTATAAAATATCTATACTTTACGACCTATTCTCATACGTACCAAATATATATAGAAAATTCATAATAATCGGTCGAGCCGTTTAGGAGGAGTGCGTTTACAAACATCGTGACACGGGATTTTTATATATTATATATAGACAATAAGCAGTATCTTCTCTATACGAATGTAGGTGTCGATATAAGAAATAAAATTATATAGTACAAGCTTTTCCCCATGACTTTGACCGCGTGACCAGAATAAGCTTATTTACTAGTATAAAAAGTAGCCTATAATATTCTTCATTACATGTAGTACGTGTATATATACATTTCATAGTAAATGTCAAGTTATTAAGACACTAACAGGTAACAAACAAACAAACACGCTTTCATATTTACTATATTATTAGGGATTCTTGTAAAATAAAAGCAATAATGTAAAACATACCATTGCTTTTCTCTTTTTCAAAACAATATATCAATAATTAAAATTAAATAATAGGCAATACCTATCGGCAAATAATAACTTCGTCTTTAACTACATTTAGTTGTTATAATTGTAACACTAGAGTTAATTAATATAGGATAATATCTATTATATTGCAGTTAAATAAAAGGTAGTTGTAACAAATATAAAATACCTACTAGAAAAAAAAAATAATTATAATTTATTTCAAAATAAATGTTACATTTTAAATATAGGTAAAACTCTGCTCCCTAAATAGGTAAATCCTGTACTTTAGGATAAGCAGTGCTCTTCCCTATACAGAATACTTGAAAAAAATACACCATGAATGGTGTAAGTACTATTTTAGTATATTTTAAATGTAATTATGTTAAATAATTATATATAATCAATTAATAATGTATAATTATTAATTAATTATATAGAATTTCGTATAAAATATGAAAGTTTGCAAGAAAAAATAAATGGATGTTTATTGTTCTTTTACACAAAAACTATTGAACGGATTTGAATAAAATTCGATACTCGAGTAGACTACATTCTAATTTAGCACATAAAATACTTTATGTATTGATCCACGCAGGTGAAACCGTAGGATATAGCTAGTAAATAATATATTTCAATTTATAATAATACTTATACGATAGTCATATAGTGACATATCAAATAAAAATCGCATTCAGTTTCATATTTTGTTGGAGTAATAAATTTTTAGTAAAATATTTTAGTTTTATTGTAATATATCTACCATTTTTTTAAAATCTATGCACCGCCATTTACTCTCTCTGTTGAGCGTAACAGTTGACTGGTAGAGAATGCCATCAGGCATTAAGTCCGCCCTGTAGACATATTTTAAAGTGTGCTAAAGTATAAATAAAATCAATAATATGTCTGTAACAGATTCTGCTAGTAAGAATGATTTTATTTATTTATTTATACTTTTGCACATATTAGAATATGTCTACAGGGCGGACTTAATGCCTGATGGCAATTATTATCTAACTATTACTATACAATTATATTATAATTTTATGTCCAATTTTATACAAATATCTAAAGATGTTATAAAAATATATCAACATCTTCATTGTATCAGCCTATAACTGTCCACTGCTGAATACACAACTCCCCATTTTTTTTTGATGGGTGAAAATGGTATGGTAACTCCGCCTGCGCTAACTGGATACGCTGGCGGAGCACCAGTGAAGGGTGATAGATGAGAATGAAAACAGGCCAGTTAGCCCATCATAATGAATTCATCAGGAATTAACCATGATAGTTTACAGGGGGAACCGCGTGGAGGTCGACCTGGTTGGGTATATTACTAGCAATGGGATTCTCAGTCTCCATTACCAACAATCCCTTTTCTCTCAGGCCTCGCTCGTAGTTGCCACGCTTGGCAGGCGGGTTGATAACCGCAGTTAGGTTTTGTAGATGTTTAAAGAGGGACACTGTTGCACATCCTTCGACCATTAAGTTCTCTTAGTCCTATGACACCCACGGGAAAGGAAGGGGTGGCCTATTCTATGCCGGGACCACACGGTTATACAAATATTAAAAAAAAAACTAGTTAAGAAGCTATAGCACCGTAACGGCTCAACCATTCACTATGAAATTTTGTATACACGTTCTGTGTGGGAAAGAGAAGGATATAGGCTACGTTTTATCCCGGGTAGTATATGTACATATTTCGGTCAAGCGGACCAAGTTGCGGTTAAAAGCTAGTAAATAATAATTTAAGACTGTCGACTAATTTATTACCTCTTTCAAAAAAGGTTGAAATCATATTTTCTTTCCCTTGAGTAGTATTTTTTTTTGTATTTTTCTAATTGAACTGTTAAATCTTAAAATCATTACTAATTTATTTTAACATTTATTATATAAGTAAGTAAGTAATATATGTATTTATGTAATATTTTATTATATATTTTAATATTTTATTTAACTGTATATTCGTTTATATATTAATAGTTGTAGCACTTCAGCTGCTCGCTAACGAAATGCTTTCTCACTGTACTGGGTTGACTAGAAGAGATCTCTGTCAGAGATAAGTCCACCCTTGCTCACAACATTTATAAATACATTATTTTATATATAACTTACAAGTGCAATAAAGAATATATATAATTTACAAATTAAGCAAAGCTTGTAGATACTACAGAAAATTTATACACTTAAATACATTGTTTTCATAAATATAAATGTAACATGTCATATATTACAGAGTACTTTTACCAAGACAAATACAAACAGACATACGTATAAAAACAAATGTTAATTTTTTTCTTATCTGTGACCGAACTTTTGAGAAATAAAAAAATACTATTTATAAATGGTTATAATTTTTTTCTGTATCGCCATTAATGCTCCCCGTACGACCCATGGTTGACTGTTAACAAACGCTTTATAGTGTTATGTTCGCCATGTATACAATTTACTGATAGATAAATAAGTAATTAAGTATACTTAAATATTTTTTTAATTTATAGTAATATATATAACTAGTTGTCCGCCCCGGCTTCGCACAAGTGTGCGTCCTGAGTCTGTCAAATCTGTCAATATATTTGGAAATCTCCCTTCTTTTTTTGTTTCATTCACTCTTTTTTTTACATGGAAATTTTTTATTTAAATTTTTAATTTTCCGTATGATTTTTCAAACCTTGCCCTGACGCGCTTACACACATACATACATATATATTTGACATTAGACAATTGATTTTTATTAATATAAATGAAGAATTAGATAAAATGTCGTTCAATTTCGGTTTGTCAGTCTGTTACCACTGTATATTCGGCCGGCGGCGGGCGGCGCGGCGCCCAATTCCGTCGGAGCGACCGCGGACGCCGACGGTGTGCCCCAAGTTATAGCCCTACCACCATTAGTGGCGTTCTTACACGTGTTACGCCATAATAAAGACACGCCTAGAATACACAAATACTCTTATAATATCATAGTAATTAAAACTTTTAAATCTACTTTAACTATTACACTGTTTTGTCACTTTCTATCAAATTGGAAATTCAATATAGAAGAAAGAGACAAAGAAGTTGAATAGCTAAAATATGATTATTTGAGAGTATTGACATTTTTAAGAATAAGAAGGTAAATGTAGAAGGTACAGTCTATTTCAATTTAAAGAAAATACATAGACTAATTTGTAGATTCGCTTACAGATAATTAGTATTTCAGTAAATAAAAAAATAGAATATATAATGGAAACAAGAGTCTCTAAAGTTGGTGCGCAGACATGAGATGATTTATGAAAGTGGATGAACTAAGTAATTTTTTTCTCTATGTACTGATTTCGCAATGATTTGCACTTGATTCTCTCTGTCTGCCTTGCATGGGTCATAGCGTTAAGATAGAATAGATATGACATCGGCATAAGTGTATTTATAATCAATAAT